TCACTGAAAATATTGAACGGGTCAAATGAGTTAGAGCGAGTCAAACCCGATTTTGACCCGACCCGAAATGTAAATTTCGGGTTGACCTGACTCATTCAGAACACTAAAAACATGTATAAAAAAAATAAAAAAGTATCTAATAAAGACAGGGAATTCGGTCGTCTCTTTTAAGTTTTAATTGTTAAACTAAAGTGACGGTTACGCGAATTCTGCCGATAGCTCATCACACTATCCTGCATGCACAAACTCGCCAAATCCATGTCTTTTTTCTATCTCACACCCCTGTAAATTTACCTGAACTCTTGCCCAAAGATATCACGAGGTCGAGAATTGTGCCGTGAACATAGTGCTAAACCCGACCCCTGACAATATTAAAATAATTTTAATAATTATTTAAAAATCAAAATTTTAAAGTATTTTTTTTTAATTATAATCTTATAACATTATTTTAATATAATGTATATGTATGAACAAATCGATGGTTAATAAGACAAAATATTGTGTGTAGATCAAAAATTCAAAATTTTTTATTATAATGTTTATATATAGAAAAAGATAATTATCTTTATATATTTGGTTCTAATCTAACAAATTTTGCTGTATGGAATAATATAGATTGCAAAATCTTATTTAAAAATAAACTCGCACACTACGATTTTTTCATGCCGATTTTTCGAAATTATTGTATTTTATATTCAAAGTCAGGGCATTATTTATTCTTGCATAGTGCTTCGGCCAATGCTTTTCCTGCCGATTCTCCTATCAAATTTCCACCAACATCTAAATTAGTTAGGGTGGTATTCTTACATAGTGCTTCGGCCAGGGCTTTTACTGTCGATTCTTTTAGTCTATTATAACTCAAATTCAAACTTGTTAGGGTGGTATTATTATATAGTGCTTCGGACAGTGCTTTTCCTGTCGATTCTCCTAGTCCATTATAACTCAAATTCAAACTTGTCAGGGTGGTATTATTACATAGTGCTTCAGCCAGTGCTTTTCCTGTAGATTCTCCTATCCAATTTCTACCAATATCTAAATTAGTCAGGGTGGTATTCTTGCATAGTGCCTCAGCCAGTGCTTTTCCCGCTGATTCTCTTAAATTGATATCCCATAAATTCAAATATTTCAAGGTGATATTCTTGCATAGTGCCTCTGCCAGTGTTATTCCTGTTGATTCTCCTATCAAATTCCCACCAATATCTAAATTAGTCAGGGTAGTATTCTTGCATAGGGATTCGGCCAGTGCCTTTCCTGCTGATTCTTCTAAATTGGTATACCGCAAATTCAAATATGTCAGGGTGGTATTCTTACATAATGCCTCAGCCAGTGTTTTTCCTGCAGATTCTTCTAGTTTATTATAACTCAAATTCAAACTTGTCAGGGTGGTATTCTTACATAGTGATTTGGCCAGTGCTTTTCCTGCCGATTCTCTTATCCAATTCGTACTAATATCTAAATTAGTCAAGGTGCTATTCTTACATAATGCCTCGGCAAGTGCTTTTCCTGCCGATTCTCCTAAATTAGTACCCCACAAATTCAAATATTTTAAGGTGGTATTCTTGCATAGTGCCTCAGCCAGTGCTTTTCCTGCCAAGTCTCCTATCCAATTCCCACCAATATCTAAATTAGTTAGGGTGGTATTCTTGCATAGTGCTTCGGCCAGTGCCTTTCCTTCTGATTCTTTTAAATTTGTATACCGTAAATTCAAATATATCAGGGTGGTATTTTTGCATAATTCCCTTGCCAGTGCTTTTCCTGCCAATTCTCTTACCCAATTTGTACCAATATCTAAACTAGTCAGGGTGGTATTCATATAAAGTGCCTCGGCCATTGCTATTCCTATCGATTCATCTAAATTGGCATACTGCAAAGTCAGAGTTGTATTCTTGCATAATTCCTCGGCTAGTGTTTTTTCTACCGATTCTCGTAAACTTTTAATCTGAAAATCCAAATGTTTTAGAGTGACATTCTCATATTGATTCTTGGTCAATACTTTTCCTGCTGATTTACCTAACCAATTAGTACTAATACCTAAATTATTTAGTGTGGTATTCTCGTATAATGCATCGAAAAGTATTTTTACTGCTGATTTTCCTAAATCATTATTTTGTAGATTCAAATTTGACAGGGTGGTGTTCTTGCATAGTGCTTCAGCTAATGCATTTCCTGTCGATTCTCTTAAACTGGTATTCCGCAAATCCAAATATGTCAGGGTGGTATTTTTGCATAGTGCCTCGGCCAGTGCTTGTCCAGTCGATTCTTCTAGTCTATTACAGATCAAATTCAAACTTGTCAGGGTGGTATTCTTACATAGTGCTTCGGCCAGTGCTTTTCCTGCCGATTCTCCCAGTCCATTATAACTCAAATTCAAACTTGTCAGGGTAGTATTCTTACATAGTGCTTCGGCCAGTGCTTTTCCTGCCGATTCTCCTACTCCATTATAACTCAAATTCAAACTTGTCAGGGTGGTATTCTTACATAGTGCTTCGGCCAGTGCTTTTCCTGCCGATTCTCCTATCCAATTTTTACCAATATCCAAATTAGTCAGGGTAGTATTCTTGCATAGAGCCTCGGCAAGTGCTTTTCCTGCTGGTTCTCCTAAATTGGTATCCCGCAAATTTAAATATGTCAGGGTGGTATTCTTGCATAATGCCCTGACCAGTGCTTTTACTAAATATTTACTCTGTAAATATAAATATGTCAGGGTAGTATTCTTGCATAATGCCTCGGCTAGTATTTTTTCTAATGATTCTCGTAAACTTTTAATTTGCAAATCCAATTTTTCGAGAGTAATATTCTCGGCTAGTGACTTTTCTAACGATTCTCGCAAACCGCTAATCTGAAAATCAAAATTTTTCCTAGTGACATTCTCGTATATATTCTCGATCAATACTTTTTTTCCTGCTGATTCGCCTATCCAATTAGTACTAATACCTAAACTATCTAGGGTGGTATTCTCGTATAATGCATCGAAAAGTATTTTTTCTGCTGATTTTCCTAAATTATTATTCTGTAGATTTAAATTTGACAGGGTGGTATTCTTGCATAATACCTTAGAAAATGCATTTCCTGCCGTTTCTCCTAAATTGGTATTCTGCAAATCCAAATGTATCAGGGTGGTATTCGTGCATAGTGCCTCGGCGAGTGCATTTCCAGCCGATTCTCCTAAATAGGTATCCCGCAAATTCAAATGTGTCAAAGTGATATTCTTGCATAGTGCCTCGATCAGTGCTTTCATGACCGATTCTTGTAAACTTTTAATCTGTAAATCCAACTGTGTCAGGGTGGTATTCTTGCATAGTACCTCAGCTAGTACTTTTCCTGCTGATTCTTCTATTTCAATATATCTTATAACTAAATTTGTCAGGAGGACATTCTTGCATAAACCTATAAACAACCCTCTGACTATTTTATAGCGTAGATTTTCACCACTCATGATTAACTCAGTTACAGTAACGTCGCCAGATAAATAATCGGCTAACGCTTTTCCATCATCACTTAACATAATTTCGCTAAGGCTAGGTAAGCATAACTCAGGTTTATCTACTAATGTAAGTGTTAAACGAGGATACTTTTTAAACTTATTTAAAAATATGTAACGTACTTACCATTAACTTTAACTAAATTTGGTTCTAATATTTTTAATAAGAGGCAATTTCATTAAACTATATAATTGACATTGTAATTAGGTACGAAATAATTGAATGTAAAATACATTACCATCATATGTGGTTGTTTCATTATAATTAACCAATTTTCTGCGTTTTATTTGGACTATTATATGTAATATCATATACATGTAAGATCAATAGTAAATATTTATTTAACAAAATTTAAACTTACTATTTTTTTCATTTAGTGAGAAATCGATGGTGTGCTTCAACGAAGTCGATAAATTTTTACTTTGGTTCAAACAATTAGCGCTTTCTGTAAGTTCAGGACTGAAAAAAATATTGAATTAATAAAATCTAGCCTTTTGATCCTTAATTTTTCATATGTAAAATGTTTACTCACGCATCTTTCATAATATCTAAAGAACAAGCAGAAGAAAACACTAAAAATATTTTGTAAGTTAATGTTAGGTAACTTTATTTATAATAAAAAAGTTAATAATTACCAAATAATGACTCTGATCTCGTAAATAAATTTAAGGCATAACTTGTATTTTCTATGATAGGATCTAACAATTGACTAAAAATTCTTTGTTCCTGTAGAAATTTTTGGGGTTTTATTTCTTGTCGTTTTTTTTCTGCATCGTAAAGTGCTGCACTAAAATCCCATTCTGAAGATTTTATTATTTGATGTATTTCATTAATTGAAGGTCTCTGTAAAGGATCTGGATGCCAACACTTTTCCATTAAATTAGCCCACAAATCCGGTGTATCTTCTGTAATTTTGGGACGTAGTCCTCTACATATATCTAACGCAAGAACGACATCATGTTTTCGATCATTAAAAGGGCGATATCCTGTCGTTAATTCCCACATTATCATGCCTAAACTGTAAATGTCGGAACTAAATGAAAATGGCTTTTTATTAAATATCTCAGGTGCAATATATGGCATAATTCCGTATACACTTAATCCTGGGTCCTCGTTTGCGGGTCGACTAAATCCCAAATCAGCAATTAACGAATCATCATTTTCATGTATTAATATATTTCCGCTGTGTAAGTCGCGATGTATAATTTCATTTTGATGAATCCATTTAATCCCAGTAACAAGACTTCTTAGGAAATTTATTTTAATCTTTTTATCTTCTCCCCAGTCTATCCATTTGATATCATCAAAATTCCTGGGTAAGTATTCATGTAAACTTCCATTTTTTATATAATCCATAACAAATATATAATTTTTTGTTATTGGATCTTGCGATACACCGTAAAAATGAACAAGATAACGTTTAGAAGAGTTGGGTTGTGTTTTGGCAATATTATGTAGCTTATAAAGATTTAACATACTTCAATAATTTTTTAGTTACAAATTAAGTAAAGAAAACTTTTACTCTACTTCCTTTATAAATTCCGAGTTTATATTTTGAGAATCTTTAAGGACTTTTAATATAATTTTCATAGAACCTTTCCTATTAAGTTTTCCTCTGGAGTAACTAGTAATTCTTCCTTTTGTCCATTTAGCGATAGATACAATGCCGAATCCACCCTCTGCAATTTTTCGAGCATCCGTAAAATCTTCAAATGGAATCCATTCTAATCTAAATCGAATATTATTTCCATGTGTTTCTTTAATTAAATTGTCAATTTCGAAATTTCCGCTATTAACAGGCAGAAATTGTTTAGAAAAACAATCTGTACACAAGTCGCCGTTACTACTTTTGTTACATCCAGGGCATCTATCCTCTTCTTTCTTAGCAAAGATTTGTGAATCCATGAGAAATTTTATTAAAAAGAAGTTAACCAACTTTTTGCGATATAAATATTATTTGACAATGAATTTAAGAGGCGTATTTTGGTGAATCTGGTTTCGATTTACTTTGTAGCAATACGAAATTCTATTCCGAAAAGAATATATGCTTGGCTAAAGTTTAAGTTGCTATTTTAGGATAAAGAAAATGCTTCTATACGTTGCTCTTTACAGCACTTGTGCAGATTTATTTTTAGGAATCTCCGTACCGTACAGTAATAATTTATACTTCGCAGCATTTTTCTGCGTCCTATTTCTAGAAATTTATAGCGTATACTGTAGTATGGTATTAAACATCCCACAAAAAACCCGACTTCAGGAATTCTAAAGTTCTAAACGGAAATATCTTACATTATATTGTTTCATTATTATAAAAAAAGAAACCTTCGTTACAGTAATTTTAATCAAATTATAACAGATTACAGTAGTCTACAGTAATTATTATGATTGACATCGTTTTATAAATACCTGTCTTACCTATCAGATGTTTAAAGCACGTACAACTATTCTTGGGTAAGACATATCGGCTCTAGTTAATAATAAACCGACACTTTTTTTATTACTTAACTCCTATGCTACAAAGGTCAATTAAATAATTGAGAACCGATATTTCAGAGAAAACTCTACCAACTGAACCAATAATTTTATAACAAATTACCAAATAAGCTAGTAAAAAAAAAACAATATATGAGGTTATTCGCCTGTCAAAAAATCAAGAAAGTTCAGACTTTGCAGCAGTAATTAGTTTTCTGAATGGATCATATTGGGTCGGGTTCGGATTTAATCCGATACGACCCGTTTGATAGTAATTCGTATTTTGGTCGAGTCGGGATCAGATTGCGGGTTGTAATATTAATAGAGTTATGAAATTGATTTGTTATTTTATGTAACCAACGAGTTTGTCATTATCTCGGGTTATTTCTCGCGTAGTTTATGATTGCGGTAATTCTTATGGTGATTAAGCTCTAACTCCTGAGGCTATTTTAATCCCGGCTAGTTCTGGATACTTGCTAATTTTCTCTCTATCAAATTTTATTAAGAAACACTTATTTATCTGCTAGAAATCACAAACTCCAGTTGAAGTAACGAAGTTACAAGTACAGTATATTGGACACTCGAGCAACGCAATGAGGGCTTATTATTTAATATTTAAACTTTATTAATTTTATTTGAATAATTATGTGAATACAATAGGTTCATTGTAAGGGGGTAAGTTGAGACGCGATGCACATCACGTGACTGATAGTCGCGAAGGATACCGCGAGGAACCTGTTCTTAGTTGGCGGTGCACGATTATCTAATGTGGGGAAAAGAAAGAAGTGATTGTGAAAAGGGACTTATGTAATAGGACTTAGCTTACCTATTGTTATTAAAGTATAGTCGCACTAGCCTCTGTAAATAGAAAGGGATGTATAAAAAAGAAAGAGACAAGCATGAATAAAAGATAACAAGACCCATTATAATAATAAATTACTCGACAAAATCAAAACACGCCTCCTTCACCTTAAGTATTACTCACCCTATCCACGGTTACGCGAAATCTTATCATCCTGAGCGACTGACTCGCCGTTACACCCCCACAACATCATTCCTACTCATAATTTTCTCACTTTAACTTCTCATCAAATAGCGTTTTATAAAATAGGTACTAGTTTTTTATACTAAACTCCTCGTCACACCAGCTGAATATTTCCGATATTATCTTTTTTAGTTCACGGCTTCATATAGGGAGGATTTGTGGAAATATCGGAAGTAACTGTATTTTTCTAAATAAACGTAATAATTCATTTAAAACTTTTAACCAATTTTAATAGAAAATATGAGTTTGTATTGCAATGCCTTGAATAATAATATCAGATCACCTTGGTGTTCTTATATAGAGAATTACATGCAATAGTATTGTGGAATTGATGACTGATTTGTAATGACGAATCATTTGATTTAAATTGTCACAATTGTTATCAAAGGATGTGGAAAGAGAACTCTTTCTTTTATAGCTTTAGCCATCAAAGCAGTCAATACTGAGAATAATGTCTAGCTGCTTAGAGTCTTAAAAGAAATCAATTCATAGAGAACATTTTGATTCTTCAAAGAATGTTTGGTAAACGTCTTTTATCGAAAGATGCAACCTCTCCAGGTGATCTATGAAATAGTAGTAATAAATTTATTGAAAATATACGATGATAGTGCTGGTCAAAGTATTTGATTTAAGCCTTGAATATTATACTTATATCTAACACTATTCGAACAAAATCGATAAATCTTTTATTAATGACACCCTAATACTGTAATATTCTTTTAATAAACCAACAAATATATCAAAATATACCTGTATCATGTTGGATAATCTTTCCAAAGTTGTCATCTATAATTATATTATTTCAAACTCAAAGCTTCATCAGGCAAAAATAATAAAATATATGTTTCAGTTCGAATTATAATAATTCATCAAACTTGATCAAAAAAATTTTTCTTCTTAACCTTTATGTAAAGGACACAGATAATTGCATATCTATGACCTATATCGATTGTCACATGTCTTATTAGAAAAGGTAATAAAATTAATATTATTAAAAATTTTATGTTATTTTATTAATTTAATTATTTTGATAATTTGTTTGTTTATATTATTTATATTATTTTGCTAATATATATTGAAACAAACATGTATATGAATGAAAGCAAATCTCTAGATTAATTGAAACTTTTGTAAAAGGAAATTTGATATAATTTGAATTGTTATTCAATTTTCGCAAAAATAATTTTAAATAATAATTCCAATAATTTCTTATAATGAAATTATTTTTTGTTTATATAATAGTTATATAAAATGAGTTGCAAAATTTTTAAGAATTTTATTTATATGATATAATTGTAAATAATTTTTTTAAACAAAAGCAATTCTAAAATTTTAAATAACAAACAATGTATATTTAAAAATTTAATTATTTTAATTATTTTTTATAAACAAATTTTTATAATAATATCTTTACAAACATATACAACAAATTATATTATATTTGTAATATAATAAAATTATTTCTACAAATAAAATATATTTTTTATTAATATAATATTAATATAATAATTTTTAAATAATAAATAATTAAATTTTTTCATATTCTAATTTTAGAATATAAATATTTTATTATAAAAATCAATTTAATTTTTTATGTTTATTAAATTTTTAAAATTAATATTCATTATTTATATATCAATAAATAAAAACAATTTTATATTACAATTAACTTTTATATTCAGGATATAAAATTTAATAAATTTGATTAATAAATAACAAAATAAAATAATAAAAATTAAGTATTAGTAAATATAAAAAGTCTCTTGATAATTTGAAAATTATTTTCTTTTTTTATATATTTTTGTTAATTGTTTATATAATTTTATTATATTTTTAAAAATATCAAAGATACTAAAATTATAACTAATACAATTTTTTATTATATAATCAAATTTTGTATTGTTTTGACTTTTTTTCTTATATTATACTATTTTTTCTGTAATAATTTTTTCATTTTAATATTATTTATCTTAAATATAATTTTATATAATCATATTCATAATGTGAGGAGTATACGATCAATTTTTAAAAAAAAAAAATTTTTTTTTTTAATATGTAATATCAAATACAGTATGTGAACGTTTGAATTTAATAAAAACAAAACTATTAAAATTTTTTATTACTTGATTTTTAAAAATCCATCATTAATAAATACAATACCGAATTTATACAGTATATACAGTATAATAATAACGAAAATAATTTCTTCTCTTCTTATTACAATTCAATTTTTTAATTAAATTTTTAAAAATAAAGATAAACTTTAGCAGTTTTAAGATTTTTTAAGAATAAAAATTTTTTTGTTTGTTGAATTTTCTCGATTTATTAATTCAATGATGTTTCAAACTGATTTTTATCTAATACAGTATTGTACAGTAATACGATGGCGGGTTAAATACACGAATGTATAAAATACGCGAATAAAAAACGAAGTAAAAAAATAAAAAAAAAGTTTTTCCAGTTTAAATGTCTTTAAGGTTACTATTAAAAAGAGTGAATAACTCATGTGTCATCGTTGATGCTTCCCTATGTTTAACAAGGTTGATTTCACGCGTGAAAACCCATTGTTATAATGCAAAGAGAAAATTGTATGCAAGGTCATGTCTTAGGTCCATACGAATACGAGTGAGTTAGTAAACAGGTTGTTTATACAGCGTTAAAGACGGATAGCGTTTTTAAATAAAAGCTTGTTCAGATGTTATAATTCCTTATCTACGATTGTTTCGATAAGCCAGATTATTATACATAATGATGAATATAAATTATATAAGAGTAAATGAAGAAATAAAAATACAGTACACATTAAATAAACATTAAATAAATACTAAACGCCCATTACTAATCACCGAAATTAAATTGGGCCGACATTTCCAATGACTTCTCTCGCTTCGTTCATAACATCACCCATAATATTCCACAACGTTCCCTCATTCCAGGTACGTCCATACCTAAACTTTCTTAACGTACCGACCCTCCTCGCATACTTCACCACCGATCTTACGACCTTCTCATCCAAAAAGTAATTATGCAACACAAAAGTGCATAATCCTACGTTGCATTCATCAAACAATATCACTAATCCGTCCGCGTTAATTTTAAAATCAAGCTCTAGGTGAAGTAGTGTTAATGGAAGAGACTTTACAAATTCCTTAATCTCATCTTTGTTGTCACTAATTTGAAGTCTTTTCCTATGATAAAACATCTCATCGTGTCTCGTCTGTAAATATAAATATTCCAGCTTCTTCATTCCCTTCAGTACTGGAAAAAAGGATGGACATAGTGAGAAGATCATTGAAGCACAAAACTTCTTCAGGTTGGGGCACTGCTGTTGAATACATTCCATTAACTCCATAGTAAGGTCGCTTAATAGAAGTTCTTGTAAGTATACATTTGACATTCGGATTATCAAACTCATGGTTGGAGAGTAACTTGTGGATACGCTGGAGAATACGTCATTACACGACAGCCTCCCTAACTTAATCTGATGAATCTTTGGAGAGACATCCGAATTATTATCGTGATTATCATTGCTGTGTGATATATTTATATCAGCTTTATCGCTACAATTACTACTGGAACTATCAGTGGTAAATCTAGGACTAAAATCTTGAAATCCAAAAATCTCGAGTACTCCCAATTCTTTACAGACTTTAATCAACTCCAACAACTTATCCACATTGGCCACACCATTTATACACAAATACCTGAGACTATGTGACTGCGTTTTCAAGATATCGTATATGATTTTTTTGTTATTGAAAACCCAAAACTCCATTGTTGTTACCGATTCCAAATTGCGTTGTGCCTCGATTAACTTTGAAATCGAATACAATTGTTCCGTACACTTAATTTGCAAATTGTAGTCGATGGCGATTTGTTTCAGATAATAGGCGTGTTTGGACAGGGTGTTGCAGAATTTTTGAAATCTTTTCGACTCATTTTTTATGTTCATCCTGTTCAAATTAAATTCAATTGATTCCAAGAACCGTAATTTCATGTACACATCTTCGAACTCAGAAATGTCTATAAGAATATGACTATTCAACGGGTCGTCGATCTTCAATAATTTCAATCCTTCAGTCTGCCCAAATAGAAAATTTCCAAGTACCTGAACGTACTTTTGTACTGTATTGAGATTGAGCTGGACAGACGAGCAGAGCAAAAAGTACAGACCATCTTGGAAATTTGATACATCGAAGCTCCTTAGATATTTCGGGTAATTGAACAGTAGCGGTTTGCTAGGTAGTCGAATTACGCGGGTGTTCAAAAGTCGTCTTGAGGATTCCGGAAGGAGGGAAACGTATGTCCGTATGATCTCTGAGAATTTACGAGTGCTCATGCGGTGTTCGAACGGACGACACCACAGTAGGGGAATGGCGATTCTGCACCATGATCTGTTGACCAGCGCACATGAGAATAATGCTGGCTTATTGTCAAAAAGATTTTTTATTATCTCTTCAAGACAATCAAATGTCAATGATGATGGAATCGTTTGACCGGCCGGTGATGTAGCTGCGTCATTTGCACCAGATGTAGAAATTTTCTGGAATCGATTTGTGACTTCGTCCAACACTGATGTGTCGGAGTTAGATCCTGAATTTGAACCTGTTTCAGATGATTTTCCCTCTTGTTCCATCCTAGAATGTGAAAGATGTGAATATTGCTCAGATACAGTATATAGTATGTGTATGTACGCAAAAGTACGCAAGAAAAGGGAATCATCAATTATACAGTAGTCTGTTCACAAATAGGGGGCAACGTGGCTAATTGAATGTGTAATTATTTGTGGCTAATGACGCACCGCCTCAAAAACGAAAATGATATTTGTAGCATCTTCATTGGATACCAATCGTTGACACTAAACAAGACTATAATTTCTTTCGTTATAATAAATCGATACCCGTCAATCATTGACCTTTCACGTAAATTCTTATTATTGACGTTCCTCATTGACACCTTACTGGTCATATCAACGTTCTCTATATTATCAATAAAACCATGAATAATGTATACAAACACGCTCTAAAACAAGAACAAGGTGTTCGCCAGGATCTAGAAAAGTTTGAGAGAAGCGAGGATGTCTCGGTTGGTATACAAGGTGGGTACATATGACCCTTTCCCCAAAATAAACATTCTGGTTGAATTTTGATTGTTGACTAAACTTCCATTCGAATTTACCAATTTTAATAGGACAGATCTCAGTGGGCTTGACATCGTTGAAACGAACCATCGATGAATACGACGGGTTGGCCAAGAGAGAAATGATACTTGTCAAGCAAGAAAAAGCTTTAGCGTGAGTTTCAAGTTTGGAATTACCATTACTATACGTAAACATTCCGTTGTTTTACCTCAACAATGCGTTTTTTTTTTTTTTTTAGAAATGTGAGTAAACTAAGAGAAGACTATAATGAATTAAAGAATCAATTTGACAGGCTGAAACAGCGAGAAACTAATAAGGTATTTATACCAATTGATTAACGTATATGGTTTATTGTGTATGTATTCTTTGTTATTGTTTTGTTCACGAATCTGTGATCCAAAAAAAAATTAGACAGTCATAAATAATAGAACTGAGCTGTTAGGACGAAGGCATAATTCATCTACGGTAACTCTTTGAAATTTTCTTACCAGAGATTTTGGTGAGTTTTCTAATCGCGTTCAACTCAACCATTAATTCGTTAACAGCCAGAATATCCATTTCAAAATAATCACCTGACGAGGGAACAGCATGCTTATCGAGAGAACGATTTTCTCAACGAAACCGAATCAAAACTTGACGAGTACATAGCACACGGGAGAGAGGTGCTCGGAAATATGTATGATCAAAATAATACCTTAAAGGTACGCGTGTCTCTTTGCGTTCGAATTAGCTATCATTGGTCACTTAAATAATCGATTAAATTAGAACGCGCAACGGAAAATGCTTGATGCTGCCAATACTCTTGGTTTGTCTCGTAATATAATTCAATACATCGAACGCCGGTCAGCTCAGGACAAATGGATTTTCATAGGCGGCGTAGTTTTTACTCTGTTCTCGATGTGGGCTATCATACATTATTTAACATAACGGCTCTTCGGTGAGTGCCGGATGAGGAGATGAAGATAATAGATTTGTCTACGTCTCATTCTTTGTTGTTGGCGGTTGTGAATATTATATAGTACGTTATGTGGGTATATATGTGATAATGTATTTAATTTTTGTACCTGTGAAGAAAAACGTGACAAGCACGGATTGTACATAGGTGGTTATATTTAAGAAGCACTCTTGTGTTGTCAAAGGAGTGTAAAATGCTATCTGCTGTTAGGGAGGTGAATGGTGTTAGGAACGTAGAAACAGTGATTTTTTTTTTTTTTTGAGGAATTTGTCTTTTATGGCTTTAAAATACTGGTGTCAACCGGATTCCAACTCGTCCCTAAAAGTCTTTACGTTATCGGATTATTTTTTATTCGTGTTATCTATGAGATGTATTTAAAAAATAATAATTGATGTATGATGTATATTACTTTTATTGATTGATTCATTCTTTAACTACCTTGAATACAATCGATCCATTAATAAATGAAATGATAAAGCAATCGATTTTTGATGAAATTACTCTCGTTATTGTTACATGTCTGTTTTCAACAAATACCACAAACATAATATTCTTATTATAATGTATAATGGATTTTTATTATTTTTAAAAGAAAATTAATAAAATAACATAAAATAAAATAAATATAATCTTTATTTTAATCAATACTTTATTTATAAACTATTTGACTTTTTTCCAATGATTAATAATAATAATAATAATAATAATAATAATAATAATAATAATAATAATAATAATAATAATAATAATAATTTTTTTTTTCATTGAACAAAATTACTATTGACATTTTCTAGGCCATTCATCAACAAATCCAAAAATTCTTTAGATGGTTATACAATAAAGTCGATTGATTTTACTTGATGTTGGCTTACATTGATTTTAAATTAATTGAACAATTTGATCATTCATCAATTAACAAATAATTGTTATTAAGATATAAATCCGACATATTGGAATGATCCAATCTTTAATTTAAAGATAGGCTTTTTTAAATTTATCTAATATATAAAAATTTCCAAATTTATTATTTATTTAGTTTTTGAAAATATACTGTATACTGTAATTAATTATTTTTTATTTTGATAAATTTATAGCTAGTATTGTTTATATTATTAAGACAGTTTTTGTTTTTAAAGATTAAAATATACATGAATTAATTTTAATCTAAAACTTTATGGCTTATACAAATTTTTTATAAAAAATCAAATTACATTTTTAATGAAAATATTTTTGAAATTCCAATTAACTTTTATAAAAAAAATTTTATACTATCTAGAAATACATTAAAATATTTTTATTTATAATGATTTTTCAATTTAATTTACAATTAGATTAAAGTTGTTTATATATATATTAATTGGTTAAAAATATTAGATGCAAGATTTTATTAATAATTATATATCCTATTATTATATCAAACATCTTTACAAACTAGACTATTGCTTTTTTTTTTTTGAATTGAATAATATTAAATACAAATTTTATTGATTTACAATTTATATATTATATTAAATATTTTTTGTAATATATAACTACAACTAAATATTAACTTATTAACTTTGTATATTCAATACCTATAAATCTGCTACTTGATAACTTTTTTTCATAATATCAGGAGATTATGGAAATAAAAATCCACCTATTAGTTTTAAACTACTTAACCTATAGAATTTAATTTTTCTTATGGAATATATACTATTAATTATCTATATATCATATAAGTTATCTATCACAATCTATCTATATTAATCAACTTTTATAAATAAAAAGAAATCTTTGATACAAGTATATATATTTTAATAAATGATTTAGTTTTAACTACTAGTTGATATTAACTATCAAATTTAAGATCTATGGTTAAATAAGATATAACTCTTTAAGGATTTAATCTAATAATAATTAACTAAACTATTAGTTAAATCAATACTTTTTAAATTTACAAATTAGACTATTGTTATTTTAAATATAAATTAATATCATTTATTAATTATTATTTTTAATAATACTTGTTTTCTTTTAAATCAATTTAATTATTTTGATTAACTAGTTTTTAAACATTAAATAGATAAGTTTATATTCAAATAAGACTTATACAAAAAAATTCTATTACTAATTTAAACTTATTCATTCTATTGATATTATTGTATTTTTCAATTGATTAGCAAAAAGAAAAATTATATAAAATATTATTATAAAAGTTTATTTTGGTTATTTTAATTACTTATTAATATTGATTTTTGAAATATATCATTAATCTAATATAGTATTATTATTCTTATTACTTGTAATACTAATATTTTTGCTTGAATTTTAATTAAATTTTATATTAATCCTTATTATATTTACGTGGCTTAATAATTTTTGTCTAATTTCTTATTACTAGATTCTGATTAATATTAATAAATATTATTACTGATTTATCAATTTCAATTTTAATATTAATTTTTAAGTTTAAATACCAAATCAAAATTTTTGATAAAATATCATCAATAAAATATTAATTAATAAAATATCAATTAGTTTTGATATTTTTCAAAAGTAATAATAACTATTAAATAAAGATTTTCAATAAAAGTTATATCAAATTATAAATATATAAATATATCATAAAAAAATTATTTTATTGTTATTAAATATTTTTTATAAAATAAAAGAATTTGACATTTATATTGAGTTTCTAGAAGAAACCGCTTTTATAAATTTTAAATATAAAAAATTTTAAAAAAATTTTAATATTAATGAAATTTTAGATATTGAAATAGTTAGTACTTCATTAAATAATAATTTTAAAAAATATCAAAACTGAATCTGAACCTATTTTACTTATAATAAAAATATATAAAACCTTAATATAATTATTGTAATTAGTTTATTCAATCAAATAAAAGCAGTACTATTGATATATTTAAATATCTAAAAAATTTATATTCTTTACAAATTGAAAAAAACTATTAATAATTAATATTGAAAGAAACAAGATAAAATAAATTAATTGCAGTAAGTTATATTGATATTTTGTTTAATTCCAAATTAAAAAATATTAATTTAGTTTTAAACATATAGTATAAAAAATTTTTAATAATTGCTTATAAAATAGATTATAGTTAATAATCTTTTTTTACAAGTATTGAATCTTCAAATTTTAAAAATATAATATCTATTTTATAAAATAAAGTATTAGTTTTTTTAGCCAATACACTTAAAAATAATATAATAATAATTTTTAATAAAAATAAAAAAAAATACAATAATTTTTATAGGTAATTATATTATACCCAGTGTTGGCAATTGTACTCCAGTGATTAACTGGAACAATACTCCAGTCCAATATTTCATTGCTCCAATGACAAGTCAATGGATACTGCTCCATTTATAAAAACTAATCACGTGATTTGATTTTTTTTTACGACTTACATAATTTTCAGTGATTCTTTTATCTACATTATCCTTAATTCTGTAAACTGTCTCCAGGTTCGCATATTTAAAATTTTTTGTTTCTTTTTTTTAACCATTTATATAATTAATGTGCTTTTTATAAATTATTCTCTTTCACCTGTAAATTCTTTTTTGCCAGAGTCCAGTTCTGATGATTATAAAATCATGATTTATGAATTTTCAAAACTCAGAAAATTTAATGTCAACCAGTAAAACGAATAAAATGGATAATTTTAATGATTTTATGTGAATAGAATTATTCCAATAATTATTAATATATTCTTGCATTATAGTTTCCGTTCCAACATCATTCATGCAAAAAATTTCTTGAAATGCATGAAAAAGAGGTAACCGACTAGTAATAGTACCCGATGGATAGTAATAAGTTAATTTCAACGTCTTCTGATAGGATGGCTATTGTATGTATCTGATTTGAGTCGTAGCACAGGTGACAAAATATTCTTATCAAAATTTTAATTTCAATATACATAAGATATGGAATTTAGGGAAAGGTGTTTCCATGTTTGTATTTTATGGTTATACGGACGGATATTGTGTACTATATGGAGTTTAGATGATAAAGATTTGGTTTTCACGGGTGGAAACGACGTGATGTGTTTCAGCTGGATACTATCTGAAAATATTTGTGAATTTTTGACAGGTATTTTATTTATTACAATAAAAATATCTGTTTATTCTTATACTTGCGATAAATCATTAATGCCGTTATGTCTATTAACAATAATTATTACAAAACAGGCACAACACGGAAACCTTAAACCCAAATCAGTCATTATATCAACATGAGTATATCCACATCTTTGTATGTAAAAACAACCTTACCCATCGAATCCAATCGCAACACCTGTTCGATGTAAAAACCTTCAATATTGCATTTTCGATCTTACAAAAAGGTTATATGGTGGTGATTTAGTAAAAGCATTAGAATTTTGGGCTGTCGAAGAGAGCTTGAACGATCATGATCAACAAAGTCCATTGTCCGTAGATTATTTTTTGGAGAAGAAAATAATACAAGAAGATCAATTGAAAAAGGTGATTCACAATATTCTCCTTTTATCACTTGTGTATATAAAAATTTTCTATTTTTTAATATATATTTTGAAGTTTTATCGTACAATTTCTTAGAACAGTCTATTGGTTTATGTGGCCTAGAGTTGATCCAAGCCTGCCACTGGAATTATAGTCAAATTCTGTGAAGAAAACAAAAACTTTCCAATCAAGACTCAATACTTCTTCCACTTAGTCCCTCAGGTACACAGATGGCTTTGATTAACTAAATTATTTATACTCGTTTATAATATTAAAATAATAATATTTAGCTGGACAAGATGTATGGCAATCTTTAATGCGCCTGTAAGTGGAGAAGCATGTCGCAAAGAATGATCACCACGGGGCGGTTATGTGTTGGTTAGCATGTGGGGATATATATCAGGCTATTGACACCTACCATAAAGCTAAGTATCGGTAAATGAAAGATTCAAATTCATGATCAAGTGAAAACCTAATTTATTAATTTTTTATTTATACAGTACTATTGCACTTACAAGCTGCAGCTTATTAGAGTTGTATTGTTCTTGGGCTATTTAACTTGAGAAAGAAGAGACTTATGAACAGGCTGCTATGTGGTAAATTGATGTAAAACTCTGGATTTCAACGATGAAATTTAATTCATATTTGAATAATTTTTTTATCAACATATGTAAAATTTAATAAATTGCTTAATCGTAATTTAAGAACTAATGATGATGTCAAAGATGTCTAGAAAAAATAAATCAAGAAGCGATTAATAATAGAGAATTAGATAAGTAGCAAGAAAAAGATATTAGCATATAAGCAAAAAATATTCATGTAAATATAATTTAATTAATCAAGATAATTGTACAAGCGCATAAAGCATTTAAGAAGTTTCAATTATACAAATTTGTTTTTTTAATTCAATAGTAAGATCATGTCTTTTGATTTCTTTAGACATTGAAAATATATCGCAAAAAAAAATTATAATTCTTATTTTTAAGTCACCTCGATTTATAATCATTAAAATTTGCTTATTCAAATAGACAGAGTTAACTTTATATCGTATCATTGCAATATTTAATATACAGAAAAGTTATAACATATTAATTATAATAGCCTTAAAAAAACCAAATACTAATACTATATTCGTGATTAACACAATATAGCATATATGAATGCTACTGATTATGACTATTTTCTGATATACCATAAATTGATCGAAGATTTCCTATTGCTGAAGGTGCAGGGAACTCAGCTATAAACAGATCTGTAAGATACCACTTTTCTACAGGATCATCTGCTGGATGATTTAAATTCATAAATGTCTCATTAGATGTTTCGATGTTTTCAATTATAAGATCTTCTGACCAGTTATTAAGAACTGATCTCCATTCATCATCTACGTTAGTATTTGTGCTTAAACTATCTTCATTATCCTCACTATAATTTACTATTGTTTCTTCATCTTCATTGATTATTACTTCTACTTCGGTTTCAACACTTTTAGGAATATGTTTTGAATGAAATTCATGGTTTTCAGTATTGTATGTAATAGTGCTTGCACGTATACGTTCTTCTAACTCACGTGCTATTTTAACTGCACGATTATAAGTTATTTTAGCACGCATTTGTGCTATTGAAAACACTTTTCCAAGCTAAATAAAATATAAAATAAATATTTAACAAATAGTTTAATATTTATTAAAATAATAAATTTTTCATACATTTAATCTGTTTCGTCATCCCGAATATATAAAACTCATTGATGAAAACAATCACTCACATGATGCTGAATTCACACATATTGAAAAAATTCGAACTGCAAGAATGTTTAATTCCTTTGTTGCTCCTATCATAAATTTCCAATATTTTTGAATATTATCAAAGTTTGAAGCAGTATCATCATCAAATGGATATTCTTTATTGACAAATTTTGAGAGTTCTGCTAAAATAACAGATGGTTGTGTTTTAAACCATTCTTTATAATAGTATTGTACCCATAAACCGATTTGAGATAAATTTAGTGAAGGAGCATTGCTATTAAAGATGCTATTACGATATTTGGAATGAAAAAAGAAAGATAGAATAAGTAATAGTTGTTCCCATTGTTTCCATCGAGACTCTAAACGTTGAACCATATTTTTGCTAAAATTATCTTCACGGTTCTTATATAATTGCATAAAATAAGCAAATGCATGAAGAACATCTGGTAATCGTACAACATCATGTTGTAAATGATTAAGTATTGCCATAAATGAAAGCAAATGAGATTCAAGTTCTTCAACCATTTGCCATCATTCGTTATCTTCCAAACATGTTATAATGTTTTTAGGTAATTCTTGATATCGTAAAGCAAGTGCCTATATATTAATAAATTATTTTTTTTCTATCAATATTATTAAAATAAAATATAAAAATATATTAATACATACCTTTAAAGCCCTTTTGC